GGCAACCAGAGTTGCTTTGGGTGAAACGGGCGGCTATAAAAATTTGATTAATAAATAGATAAAAACCAAATGAGCTAACATCCCAAATCTACACTTTTTAAAAGGAGGAAAAAAAGGACACTAAACAAAAACAATTTCATATACATTCTCTGTGTGCGTGTGTGTGTGTGTGTGTGTGTGTGTGTATGTATATGTATATGAAAAAAACCATCAACATCCCTTTTATTGCTTACTAACCATTTGCCTTCCCACCCCATCTGCCGGCACAGGAATAAGGTTGAGAAATCATGGTTGTGCTGTAACATTTAGCACAAACAATGTTTTTCACAAACACCAAATCTGATTTAGTCTGGGGTTCTCTTTTTGGACAACTGATTTATGACATGAGCAGCCAGAGCAGCCTTTGGAGGCGCCACGACTCTCTTTGAATGCAGCGGAGGGAAGAACTGTGTGCGTGCTCCATTGCACATGTGCTGGTAAAGCATGCGTGCACACGCATGCTCTACCTGGAGGGCACTGGATCACAGACAGCATTGCTAAGAGCAACTTCCATCCAGGAGGCGAAATGTCCTGCCACGGAGAGCGACTTTAGAAGAGTCGGGACAGGGAGACAGGAGAGGAACAACCGCTGCACAAGTGCTTTTTGACCATGGATGAAAAGCTTCCTCACCTTAACAAGAAAGATACATCGCAAACGCATGTCACCTTACCCCACCCCCACCCTCAAAAAAGCCGAAAATTAAAACAGGAGCTATACTATTCAACTGCACACGGCTACAAAGCATAAAGAGACCGGAACACAGTAGCTTCTCGGACGTAATCCCTTGGACAGTTTTCAGATTTGGGAATTCAGGAGAATCGTTCTCTTTTCAAGATGATCTGGAGGCTGATCCAGCCATCCTGCCTGCAAATTCTGATGTAAGCACAACTTCATATGCACAAGGCACTCTTCGAAAGGGAACACACAAATCTGGGAAGATGCTGGGGTGGGGGGTTGTACAATTTCTTAAGCAAGTCGGAACCCTTTGCAAAAATATGAGAGATTTGGAAATACAAAAATGTAGACCTCTTAACTCCCCCCCCACCTTTTTTTGGTTCTGTTATTTTCCTAACTTTATTTTTAAAGTCCAAAATATCCCACCACACAGCACACCACAAGACACAGTTAACTTTAAAGGAGATGGAACCGATGCTAATGAATAGTCTTGGATCCACAACCATTTGTCTAAGCTTTTTTCACGTTGTATATTTTTGGGTCGAGGGACTACTGATATTGCTCTTATCTTTGGAAGTTAGTGCAGGGTAAGGGATGGCAAGGGGCAAAATCCAGACTTCAGAAAAAGGAATGCAGGTGTATTTATATCGTATAATGAATAAAAAAAAAAAGAAATGAAATGCAAGATGTTACTAATGGGGTTATAGACCCTGATCTCTGAGGGAAAATATAATTAAACTAAGCCTAAATTCAGTCCTTTTTTTTATTTAGTTAAAAGCACACTCAACTGCTTGGTCCTCTACCTTTGAATTTTGGAACTGACTGTGTAGGTATCTATCAAATATGCTTTGAAGCTGGGTAGCTATATTTAAAATATTTGTATGATAATGAATGTATATTCAAGTAGGCTTGTGGGCACCAATGAATAAAGGAGAATGAGACAATAATAACAATAACAATAAAACAATACACACCTATCAGGGGACAAGGATGAGGCAAAATTGCTCACATCACTTCTGTTCACACAAATAGAAATGCTGGCTGGGGAATTCTGGGAATTGAAGTCCAGACATCTTAATATTGCCACAGTTGAAACACTGTTTTAAAAGAACTAGTCTTCTTGAAAGCACCAAAACGGCAGTATTATACGAATGTATGGATGTATGTCTTGTTTAATTAAACTGATCATTATTTTTTAAATGGATGTATCAGATTAACACATGGATGATATTAAGGCTTTATTTGTGCTTGTCATTTGGAGAGGAAAAATTAGCAAGAGGAAAATGCTCAGAGCGTTAGGTTTTCTGCACCTAAAAAATCTGAACTTATTCACTGTTCCAACTGCCAAATCATTTTGATGAGTTGGCTTGAAGAACACGTGCTTATCCATTTCTGAAGTTCGATTTTAGTCTTTTAAAAGGAGCATATCCAATTTCACAAAATGACACCTGAAAATAGGTGTTTGCTTTATTTTAATCTGACAATTTGGATTTGTTGCATCTACACATCTCCCATTTTCACACCCTTCTCTCCAAAAATCAGAATTTGCTGTTTAAGCAAAGTTCAACATTTCTCGGGACATTATCTATGTTTGGGCAGGCCAGAATGGGACAAGAAGAAAAGTATCAAAAATATTGTTTTATAGCTCTGCCTGCAAAACAAAACTCCACCAAACATAAAAAGGAGAGTAAAGGAGAATCTACAAAATATCTGCAACAGATTTAGACGTGGAAATTAAGCTTAAAGTAATTTTTTTTCCGTGGAAAGAAATGAAGTCATAGAGTAAATGGAAGGTTTACAGCAATGGTTAAATACAGTTCCTTTGGCACATTCCCAAAAGGACAACTTATCGCCAAGTTGAATGTTTTGGATCTTGCTTCTTGAAAGGCATCTCTGCTTTTTCATGAAGGTAGTGGGAGAATGCAATGTCACCAATCCAATTTTGCAGTAGACAATTTTGCAGCCTGTTATTAGACAGTTCTAGCAGTGACGGTTGGCAAAGAGAAAGCAGCACCAGCTGCTTTTTGAACTGCAAGGAAGGTGGCACGTAAGCCTTTCAATTTTAGACAATTTACAAATTTTGGGGGGGAAAAGCAAATGCAAACTGAAGGTTAATGGTGGCTGAAAGGGGAACATGCACTAAAATTAAATATCACTGGTGCTTACAACTGGATCGGTCCCTGTATTTTTATACAGACGGTACTGTTCGCAGTTTGATAAACTAGCAAAAAAACAATGTATTACACTCTTATGTAGGAGCTTCCAACTGCATACTGAATCAAAAACAGATTCTTGCTCTTTGCTTACAGCTAAGAAAGCTAACTTCTACTGCTGAGGTGCTGGTTAAGCACCTGCTGTTTAAGGAGAAAGGAACAATTCTTGCCTAGTCTAACATGTTTATCTCCCTGCTTCTTTGCTTGCTAACTTCATACATCAACTGAGAGAGCTTGATACAATGAACCAATGAACTCTCACACTATGAAAAAATGATGCATTACCCCACTGTCTTCACGGCTCTCTATATTGTAGAAAATCTTTTTTTTTTTTAATAAAAAAGGGGGTGGGGGATTTCTACATACATATCCAAATGGTACAGGTGGCAGCCACTAAATGCTTCCCCTAAAAAGGTTGATCTTCAGGTGAGTTATGTTTATGTAAACAGTTCCACCACACACATACAGTTGTCATAAATGTAC